GTTCAAGGCAACATTACCCTTTGTCAACATTTTCTTCTGATTTTCATCCTGTTTAATTTAATATAAATTAAAAATTAATAAATTTATAAATTTGAAAAAGTTGATAATCAGTCAAGTTCATAAACCCTGTTTATTCTCAACTTTAGCTATCCCAAATGTTTTTATATTCCTTTTGACTTATAAAAACTTTTTCATTAGCTTTCACTCTATGTTCTTGACTGAGATTTCTTCATATTTATTTTAACCAAAAGTCCATGGTCTTGGCCTTGGCTTTGGCTATGGACTTGGCTTTGAGTTGGGGTTTTTGGGCTTTCGGGTGCCTGTGGTGTCTACCCCAAAACGCCAACGCACGATCTTCAATTCAATTCAAAATCCAAAAATCCAAGCAGAAAACTCACTTTTTCGCTGCCTCTTGGCACGCAAACTAATTAAGACGGCAATTAATGATTATATCTGTCTATCTCTCTCTTGCTGCCATGGCCAATTGTGCGATGCGAAGCCGAAATGGCCAAAAGCGCGCCGGAGTGAAAATGTGTTTGCAACGTCGCGTTGACCAAAAGTGGTTAAATGCAATGCCAGCTGGTAAAAAAGTAAATAAATAAAAATAAAATATGGAAGGTGGGGAGAAAAGGGGGTGGTGGGGGTAACCCTGGCAGTGCGTGCATGTTAATGGGGAACGCACGCACACACTTACATACATACATATATGTACGCACGCAGCGTGAAAAATAATGGAAATGGAAGAAAACAAATTAATTGCGAAAAATGTACGAAAATTTTCACATTCAATGACCTTGACAATGGCTTTGGCCCAAGTCGCTTAACAAGTTGGATTTGTTTCTCGATGTGGAGAGTTGCCCGTGTGCGTGTGTGTGTTAGTGTGAGTGTAGAAAACGTGACGAGTTACGTACTTTTGGAGAAAGGTCGTTGATCATGGCTAAAAGTTGCTTTTTTTGTTGTTGTTTAATAGCGGTTTCAAAGTCAACATCAACTTAACGCGCTGCTGTTTTTGGCCATTTAAGTATTTCTAGTTTCGGTTAGCCCCTCTTCTCCTTCACACCGATCGATCTCTCACCTGCCTCGACATAACCTCAGCATTGCAAGGTTAACACCAAAGCTATTGGGCCCCCCCCCCCACTTCTCCCCCCGGGAAATTTCTTCCATCTTTTTTTTCGTTGCCTTGCCAAAATAAAGTACATAAAAAAAAATGCAAACAAAAAACAGTTGATCAGCGTGAACTTGAGGAAAGCCAACAAAGCTGAAAAAAGAATGAGATTTTGGCCAAGAATTAGAGTTCAAGGAGAATCAGTATTAAGCCGACTTTCTACGTCTTTTCTTATAGTGTTTTAGCCAGAAGAATCTTCTTCGTTCTCCATCTGTTATCATTTTTTTCAGTCCAACGTTACCGTCTTTATGTGTGCCACAAGATGAAGACACGTCTTCTGGCCTGGCCATTAAAGCTGGCTCTGAGCCAGCCAGATTAACGTAAAATACCATATACAAACACATAATAAATGCAGTCGAGAAGAAATGGTTAGAGGAGAACTAGTTGATGGCCCCGACTAATGCTAAGTAGCCATATTCGGAGCAATTCGATGCCAATTTCCTTCCAACAGGTGCAATTGCTCCATTCTCGGCCCGTATTCCACATAGCATTTCACCGTTACAACAACAGCTACGAAGATAAGATTGTGTCTCTTTCTCACTTATCTATATTAACTCAACGATTCTACGAAGAATAGCCAGAAAAGAGAACAAGAAGAAGAGGCAAGAATTGATTGAGGAATGTGGAATTTTGCGATGACGTCGGCGAATATTTTCGACACCCAGAACTTTGGCTTGTGGAAATTTTTCCTACAAAGCTTAGACTCACATTTCTTTTATATGTTTATTATTTATACTTTTTAAATTCAAATTTCATTTTTTGCCTGGAAGGCTTCCATGCAATCGTTTGTTTTTTTCGGAATATTTGCAATTTGCAGTCTCTTCTCTTTGATTTCAATTTCTTCCAAAGAAGAGGCAGCAAGACCAAATGCGGCAAGGCAAAAAAGTAAAGTAGAGACAGGGCGGGGCAGGGGCTGTGGCTGTGGCTGGGCGCGACGTCACCGCCGTTGGAGCCACTCCTTTGACCAGTTGCCCAAACATTGACTTCACATTGTGTCTGTGTATGCGTCTGTTGTTTTCTTTTTATGCTGCTGCTGCTGCTCTCTCTCTATCCCTGTCTCTTGCTCACTCGCCTTGCGTGCTTATCGTCGTATGTTGCCGTTTCCTTTTATGCGTCATTTTGGCTCGAAATAGGCAATTATTTAAACAATGATTAGTCAACGAAAAGCGCAAATAAATAAGTCTACATACTGTTACTTATTTTATAGACATGTATGAGCGGTATTGAACCAAGCAACACAAACAAACACTCACACGCATCGGCTTTCCCTCTTTCACTTTTTTGCACAGACGAGTGCGAGTGAAACGGCAAGACCGGCACAAACACCCGGTGACTTACTGTGAAAATCAGCCGAATTCTGGCTAAAAATATCAATTGCTAGCAATGCATTCAGCATTACAATAGCAATAGCAATAGCGAATAACTGCTATATTGTGTATTGTTTATGCCGCGACTCCGGCTCAAGAATCCGCGAGAGGAGAGCTCGGCTTATCATATACATAAATACATGCAATATGTATGTATGAGGCAACAGCCACTGAGTCACAGCCAAAAGCCGCAAGCCAGAGCAAGAGAGCAGCTTAGTCTGCATGGGCGTGCGAGGATGCATGTGTATGTGTGTTGTGGCGTGTGCGTGTGGAGCGTCTCTCTCTGCATCTCTGTTGCGCAAACGCGCTGTAGCATCACCTACTCCAGCTCTCGTCTGGCAGCTGTTTCGCCGCTGGCGCCGTTATTGTTCAAACCGGCTTGCGGCTTCATTGAGTAGACTTGAGTGACTATGGAAATACCCTATTGTTATTTATTATTTTAGAGAACAGATTTTGATCTTGAATTCTCTTTACAGCTAGATTAAAAAACATATAACATAGCAATTATTAAAAACCTATTTATATTTAGCTAAACGAGCTAATTAAAAATGCAGATTATAAAATATCTGGCTTAATATTTGGCATACATTGATTAAAGACAAATTGATCTTGTCTATTTTAATTCGATAAAAAAATAAAAAAAAATAAAAAAAATTGGGTCGAAGAATATAATTAAAAAAACCCACCATAAACGGTCAAAGAATATATGTACATATATGTATTTAAGCTTGACTATTTGTCAGACCTATAGCACCCATTTCCAGGAATACTCCAATGAATACTCCCGTGACTAGTGGGGCAATTTAAAGAAGGTGTTATGACCACTCTTTACCTCGACGCGCAAGTAATTCTCCATAAAGATAACACCTGAAGTGTGCGGGTTTTCGATTATCGAGTGGGGATGACTAAGGCTTCACCCTGAAGCATTGAATTGAATCACATGCGTAGTGTAAGGCGCCGAATGACCGACCCGACCTCAGCTAAAGAGTATCAGAAACCCCATTGGAACTGATAGGACCCATGAATACCATACACTGCACACACACATGCACACACACACACAGACTCACTTGGAGAGTGCAGACATCCAGAGAGAGGGAAAATTCTCCGAAAAGCGAATCGGCGAACAATTCATACCCATATATGGTAAAACTTTGGACGCGGCTCAAAGAGAAGAGAGCCGGTTTTGGCTGTGCGCTGATAAGGCGAGCGGCGAACTGTTGAGCGGTATGGAAGGTTGGGCGGGCGGTACATGAGCGGCCTGGCTTTATAAAACGGGCGGCACCGACCAGTTTTCATATCACTACCGTTTGAGTTCTTGTGCTGTGTGGATACTCCTCCCGACGCAAAGCCGCTCCATCAGCCAGCAGTCGTCTACTTTAGAGACACCAAACCGAAAGACTTAATTTATATTTATTTAATTAATTTTAATAAAACAGACCAAAAGTAAGTATACCGTTGTACCGCGAGAACAGTGTGAAAAGACGTTACTTTCTTTGACAAACTCAATACATACATATATTTTTTTGTGTGCCAGTGCTAAAAAGTGATCTGAAGCCAGTTACAAGAGTTATTGTATATACCAAAACTCGAAAATCTGCAAGGCAAATGCTTTGACCGTTTGGCTATAAATTGAAAATCGAAAATGCCCTGCAAATAATACCATAACTCCGAAATCAGCAACAACACTTTCCCCCGACCCCCTCTTCATACCACATCCAGGATAGTCCAATAAGAACCCATGATCTCAAAAGTGTATAGTTATCAGAGATAAATCCAAGAATTCCAAGAGATCAGTGCGATCTGCATATTTTTTCCATAACCCAATAACCCCATAAAGTGGGCGTGCCACAAAGATTTCACTCACCCGTAGTCCGAAAAAATCATGGCGACATCTTCGTTTCGTCTTTCTGCACACACTTTCTTTTTCCCACGCCTCGGGAAACCAGAGCGATTGATTCAACAGCAACGATCATTATTTCCATGTTTACGCCATAATTCCAATAACTAGGGAATGCGAGCAATAATCCGAAACTTGGCATTTGGATCAAGTTCCCGTCTTGTGACGTAGGCAGCAGATCGCATCTCGTCATTAAGGCCGTCTCGGCTTAAATAGAATATTTGCCGGTTTTCCAAGTCGTCGCTGCAAAAATGGTGAAAACCTTCGGCTTTGCATACATGCATGTGTGAGAGTGTGTACGTGTTCGAGTTGAGAGCCGTGTGAGAGAGAGCACGAAAGGCGAAGCGATTGCTTTTCGCCTCGAAACATGACCATATATGGTCACAAAACTTGGCAGCCGCAACTCAACACACCAGCGCTCTCTGTCGCACGCATGCGCCGGCCTCGGCGGTGAGCTCAGCAGAGAGATAGCGAGCGAGAGGGTGAGGGAGATAGGTTGCCGCCAACGCAGGCAGCGAGGGAATCGTGGTTAACTGGCATTCGCCGTTCCTTCGCTTCGCTTGTTCATTCCTCTTTCGACAGTCGTTCCGCGCGGATCAGTTCACTCGAGCTTACTCTTTCTCGCCTTGAATTTGTTTAATTGAACAAAAAGGTAACGGCTCTTAGGTCTTGGGTGAAAATTAGTGCAGCTAACTGAAAGTATTTCGCTAATTTTTTTTTTAACGAACAGTGTGTGTGC